AAGGAGGGGGAGAGAGGGAGGGGGAGGGAGAGGGAGAGAGAGAGAGAGAGAGAGAGAGAGAGAGAGAGAGAGAGAGAGAGAGAGAGAGATTGATTTTTGGCTTTTCCTGGACTTTCCATCTCTACCCCCAAGTACTAGGATTGCAGGTGTGTGTCACTGCACCTAGCTTGTTAGGGTAAAATGAATTAATCTCATGTACCCAGGCCCTTAAAAGCCACTATAAAAGCGAGTTCCATCTGCAACGGTACAGAAATATGAGTATTTACAAAGACCCTTTAGGAGTTATTCACTCAATTCAATAATGATTTTTAGCACCATTCCCCCATTGCAATCTCTGTCCTGAGCCAAACTTGGTGTGAGTTTTCCCCACTCCATTTCAAAGAAGATGACAAACCCACCAAGACCAGATTTTACCCAGTCCTTGGCTCCCTGGCTTTGTTCAAGGAATTCTGCTCAGCTTTGTGGGCACCAGCCTGGCATTGTAATACCAGAAGCTTTTCATTTCCTAAGTTGACATAAATATTTTAGGAGTCATGTGCCAAGGAGGCACAGAGGCCATTTGTGCCCTGGTTAACTCCAGCTTGGCCTCCTGTGGAGCGAAGGCTGAGGGCGGGCACTAGTTGCAAGCTGTGCTTGGGGGAAGGGAAATGTATCTTGAAGTGCATGGCAACTATTTTCCACTTGGTCTGATGTCAGCAAAGTCAGCAGAGGGTAGAGGAGGGAGGGCATGGTACCCTGTGGCTGGAGGCAACGGAGAAGCTCATCAGGAGGCCCCAGAAGGACTGACTTCTGCTCTCTGCCTGAGGACTCCCCTTGTTCCTTCTCAGCCAACCTCGCTGCCAAACCAAGTCAGGATGCAGAGTGACCCTCAGTGGCCACACTGACTGGCAGAAGGAGGACAGGTAAGGAAGGAGAGGAGCTGGAGAAAGAAGAGATCAGGAGCTGGGTTTGGTGGTACACACCTGGAACCCCAGCACCCAGAAGGTGGAAGCAAGAGGATCCAGGTTCAAGACCATCCTCAGTCACATTGCAAGCTCCAGGCCAGTTGTAAGAAATGATCTCAGAAAGACAAAGGCATACACAAAAACAAAACAAAAGACTCAGGGCTTCCACTGAGGAGACCAAAGGGAGACAAGATAGTAAAACAGGCAGTATGTAGAGTGTGAAGAGCGGCTATGCCACGCCCTGTGGGCACTTGTCCCCAGCCCTAGCACTTGTCCCCAACCCTCACATATGGCTGAGCTGATGTTCTCGCCTTTTGATTTTCAAGACACAGCCTGAGACTGTCACACTGCCTGTCTGGAGTCCAGACCCCTGAGCACAGGGCACTGAGAGAGATGGCAATCACATCTTTCCATGGCTCCGGGCTGCAGGAACAAGCCCAGCAGCCCGACACAGGACACATTTTCTGTGAGTTGGTCTCATCCTACTAAATGAAGTTTGAGATGGAATCCAAGGCATTTTCCCCGCCTCAAGGCCTTTGTGCCTGGATGTTCCTTCCTCATCTGGGCAACTGAGGCTTGTCCTGGAGAGCCACTTCCAGGCTTCACCTCCAACAGGCATTCTCTGACACTCACCACCTCTAGGGTTGCGCACAACTCATAACTTTTATGGGCATTCAGAATGTCCCCTTGTGCTCTTGTCAACACTGCACTGTTACATGGTGGCCTTCCCCTACAAACTATAAGCAACATCTGGCTAGGATGTCCGTACCTTCTCACCCAGTGCCTGGCACATAGCAGACAACTGGTAAATCAGTCGATAAGATCTTGAAAGAAACAAAGGTACAGGCCCAAGTAACACAAAAGACAAGCATCTAGAATTGACCCCGTGGCTGTCACATGTGCACAGCCACTGCTGATAGTCATAGCCAGTGTCCCCTAACTATGTAGTCCATGCCCATACCTTCCTCATGCTTGGGGTTTCAGCAAAGCTCAGCACAGAGGGAGCTGGTGGCATTTGGCTGGCTGACTGGCAGGACACAGAAATGCTCTGTCACTCATCTGCAAAGTTGGGGATGTGGATATTCCCATGACTCTTTTAGCACCCCCACTTGCTGCCCAAGACCCCACCTGTGAAAGAATCACAAAGTGTCAGGAGGAGGAATCATGTCTGTGCCACAGCCTGCCCGCAGGGTGTGTATATGACCAGACTGTAAACCCATCCAGCAAGCCCAGGCTGGGCCCCATCTGGAAACACAAGGCCAGGACTCTTTCATGTTGCCAGGACCCCATGGCTAGTGCCAAGGGCGAGAACATGAGATTCCCATTAGCTCAGCCTAATGACCCATGCCTTGATCCCTGGAAACAGAGGCAGGGAGTCCAGGAAGATGACAGTGAGGCCCCACCTGAAGCACGAAGCATGTGCCTGCAGCTAGGAGGGGCCCCCATGGGACCCCCAGGCCCTCTCAG